CTGTTTGGGAAGCGGGGGAGGGAGGAGGGATGTTGTTCAGATGACACCGGGGTGGTGGGTTGGGGTGTGTGAGCGTGTGTCCGGGCCCGGTTTGCCGGGTGCCTATGGAGTTGGGACGCGGAGTCACCACGGAGGTGGACACGCACGATCCTTCCTTGGGACCTCCTAGCCCGCTTCCGAGACCTCTGATCCGGTTTGTCATCAGCCCCAGCTGGAGAACCCCTGGCCAGAAGTTTGCAGCTGTGCAACATCTGGGCGAGAGTGCTCCCGTCTCTCCATCTATGGCCAGCTGATCTGGGCTCAGAGTGGGGGTCTAGGGAATGGGGTGGAGGCTTTTGGGGAGGGAGGGCCAAGGAGGTGAAGATGCATCTAGTCTCTCCTTTCCAGGGCCAGCCCCCATCCTGTAAGGTTTGGGTCTTACAGAGATGGGGGGAAGGGCCTCCCTTCCCCAGGGATTCGGACTGCCCTCCTCGAAGCCTCCTGAGGTCTCTCCCCTGGGAGGAGGGCTCCTGGGTGTGAGCAGTCTTGGAGCCACTGAGTAGCTTATCCCAGGTTTGTCCCGAGTGGGAAGCTCTCTGTAAGTCCCCTTAAGTAGTGCGTTGTGGATGGGTTGGGGGAGGGTACAGTGAGTGGATCCTGTGTCCCCTACCCTGTGTCCAGCCTCCCTTTTAAGGTTTCCCTATAGGCCTCGTTTTTTGGGGTGGGGTAGTTGGAGGGTGGCCCTCCCCTCCCCATCCCCTCAATGGGTCTCCCAGGCATTTCAGGTGCCAGCCTTGACTATGGGAAATTTGCCATCTGGGGCAGTGACCTTGGGCTGCTCTGGCCTGGAGAGAGGAGGGGAGCACAAGATGGAGTGTTTGGAAGTTAGGGAGCTGTCCACCTCCTACTCCCCTCCAAACCCCCAGCAGGGAAATCTCAGTGGTCAAGGAGAACATCAAAAAGGCACATGTCATTGTTCACACATGTCCACCCGCCTGTGGCCAAGGGTCACACCCGCTCCAGGTCTCAGCCTTTCTGTTCCAGCTCCCAGGGCTGCCTGGGAATGAATTTCCTTCCTGTGGTCTCCCAGTGTTGGGCAGGAGGTGGGGGTGGGATGGGATCCGTGTGAGATGGCTGAGGACCCGTTTCTATGAAGTGACTGGGGGACACTGGAGCTTATATATAGCTCTTTCCTCACTTGCCTCAGCACAGGTATTTGCACTCTCGGGTCTCAGTAGTCACATTCTCATTGTAACTTCCCTGTCCCCAACGCACCTGGTGTGTGTGTGTGTGTAACCAAGATCACACAGCAAATCTATGTCAGAACTTTAGTCCAACCGCCACTCTTTCAGGCATGGATGGCTTCACAGTAGGAAGAGACCATAGGAAGGGAGACACAATTCTTGTTCTTGGAGGCCCTGGTCCAAGGAGAGAAAGAAGCAGGACCCAGTCAGAGAGCATCATAATCCTTGTGTTGGGGGTGGGGGGTGGGGTTGGGTATGGGAGGCTGGGCTAGAGCTTCTGTGTGCTGTACCCAATGCCTGGAACGGAGTGATGGACGGATGGTGAGTGCTGTCCATTGCTCACCCTACTCTGTACCTGCTGCCTTGCACTGGAGGGGCCTGGGCTTCCCAGCTCTGCCTCTCTTGACTATTGGATCCTCTCATCAGCTGGGAGATATAATAGTCTTTCTGGCTGCTGTTATATAATCTCTCTCCAGCAGGTTTTTCTTTAAAAAAAAAAAAATTATTCACTGAGTCTTTCTTGGGAGGTGTGATGGGGGGAAAGGTGGCGAGTAGACTCGCAGGTGGGAGACTGGAAGACCAGTAAGGGTGGGGTAGTCTTTCTGGCTGCTGTTATATAATCTCTCTCCAGCAGGTTTTTCTTTAAAAAAAAAAAAAATTATTCACTGAGTCTTTCTTGGGAGGTGTGATGGGGGGAAAGGTGGCGAGTAGACTCGCAGGTGGGAGACTGGAAGACCAGTAGTAAGGGTGGGGGGCTGGCCCCTGAGCCAGGAAACGGTTTAGACCCTCTTTGATTGTTAACTAGCCCCTCCCACCCTCCTCCTCTGACTGTGCCCTGGGGTGGTCTCTTTTGCTGTGGGTGTTCCTGGTCCTCTGCTCATCCGGTCAATCTTCTCCTTCTGGGCAGCTGGGTCCCCTGCCCTCTCTGGTTGGCACTGGGTCCGGAATCTCAGTGCTTACCTTGGTGCTGGCCTGGTGTGAGTGGGCCGTGTCAGACACTTCCACCCATTTCTGTATCTCTATGGGGACAACGGGGTCAGGGACAAATGGTTGGGTTTACCATTTTTCTAGTTGTAGTTGGAGCCAGGCCCCCTGCTTCTCTGCCCCTCTAGTCCAGAGGGTGGTGGCCTTACTGGAGAAGATGAGTCAGTGAGGTGGGCAATAGAGGTCTCCACCTCTTGGCCACAAGTCAGAGTTGGGGTTCACCTGGGTCCTGTCAGTGAGTATGAGGATGAGATGTCCTAGAACCCATCCCCAGGGGTTAGATTCTGGCCTTGTGGCACTGGTGGCAGGTTCTCCCCACCCCTGGGGACCATGACTGGAACTCTGCAGGCTTTCTGAGGCCAACTGGTTTGAGGCAATTGCCTCCCTTTTACAGGGAAGGAGGAGATGGCGGTGGGGCCAGCATAACCTCAGCATCACTGTAATCACTGGTGGCTTTTATGGGCCAGTCATGGGGTCGGAGTCCGGCCAACTGTCTGTCCTTCTGTCCCAGTTTGGTGACTTACTCATGGGGGGAGGAGGAGGTGTTAGGTGCTAGTTCTGGAAGCTGGACACCTTGCTGTGTTGTGGTTGATGTTGCCCTGTCTGTCCACAATCGCAGCAGGCAGGATGGAACTTAGACCTAAGGAAGAACCTCTAGTTGTTGGAGAGACAGCCAGCTCTAACGTGGCCTGGGAAAAAGGGGATCCCAAAGCACTTTCTTCTTCAGTAGTTCTTGGTGGCTCTGCGGAAAGGCCTTGAACTTTGGCCTAGTGGGAATGATGCAGTTTGGCTCCTGGAATATTTATTTTCATTTCTCTCCCCCTGCCTGGGGTTGCAAGCATTCTGAGGAGAGTTTGTCCTGGAGCTATGGGATGGCGAGCTTGTGGACCCCTTTCCTCTAGCTGGGGGGCTGGGTGGAGGGTCTCTGCAGACTGATATGCCCAGACGCACCTGGCAGGTCCACAGCATTTAGTGGCACACAGGCATGAAGGTGCGCAGTGCATACACGTGGGTGTGTAGCACCCACGGAGCAGCTGCCGCCCTGTAGGGGGTTGGGGTTGTGAATGGCAAAGATGATTAAAGGATTGGAGACTGGAGAGA